GTTTTATTTCGTATCGTTAGAACTTTCTCTTCCTTTCGATAGAGAAGTGTACGATCGAAGAAGATATCTTTTCCTTCCAGTTCGATGTCTAATTTCGTTCCTTCACCTTGCAACTGTATTTTCAACGAAATTGTAATTAACACGGAACACCTTTGACTCTTTCGCTGCGGCAGATTTTTCTACGTTACGCGAAAGAATGTAAATTTTTTTGTAAAATCTATTATTTTCGCCGTATCGTCTTAAGATTCGGTTTATTAGCCTATTAACCGTGTAAGACGAATTAATTCCTCATTAGTTAGCCCATTCAATTCAATGTAATATTGAGCGTAAAATGTTCACATTTGCAGGAACGAAGAGGAAGTAATTGGTTACAAATCGTCCTCATATTTAATTATAAACTGCAGAGATTCAATTTCTGTTTGAAAGGAGAGCACAGTTAACTGGTTAAATTAAGATGGAAGTGCGTAAAGGATTAAATTAAGGTGCACCAAAATCCCCCAACATGTACTGCGAGAAAATTTTCAAAATTGCTGTAAGCGCCAATAGCAACGAAGGGGTTAATTACCAATCATAAAATGGAACAATTCATCCACCGTAAAGTTTGAAATATTTTTAAAGCAATCTTACTCCAAAATTACCTCAATTGTGTGAACCTGCGGATTATCTTTCACGCACAGATGCAATCTTCCCGCGATAATTCCTAGCCTGGTAGCGATGGCCGATAACTCCATAAACTCACACTTGCCCGGCTACATGGATTTGATTTCTCGTTAGCCATGGGATTGTTCGATATTCGTGAAACACGAAAGTTTCCTATTCTACTGTGTAAATTAAACGGTGAACCCGTTAGCCGATAACGCACAGCGATAAACAGCTGCACCGGTTGCACGTCGAAGCACTCGGGCCCGTTTTCCGTCACCGAGAATTCCACCTCCGCCTCCACCTCGGAAATGTTGGAAAACTTGAGTCGAGCCTGACGACGATGCGGCCTGCGAGCAGATAAGACGACGTGAACTCGCGAATTCACTGGCTTAGCAATACGAGACTAACTCTAACATTCGACTCGATTCGTTGCATTCTCTGAAGTTATAATTAAAGAAGTATCTTATCCTTTTTTTTGTGCTTAACCGTTTGTCTTTTAACAACAAGTCAGGCTCGCGACACAGATTCTAACGAAGATGGGATAGAAATAGTTACATTTGTAACGAAAATTTCATTTGATGCTAACTTTCGTTTTAACCCTTTCGCTACGGCAGATTTTAACGCGTAACGTGGGTGACTGACGGTGAATTCTTGTCTACGGCTGCGAAATTTGTTATTTTGGCCGCGTCGTTTGGAAATTCGGTTTATCGTATTAAGATGCAAGTGCGTAAAGGATAAAATTAAGTGTTAAATTAAGGTGGAAGTGCAGCAAAAGGCTCCAACGATATAGTGCGAGCAAATTTTCAAAAATGAAAGGGTTAATTTATGCGTACAGAGTGAGATACATAGCTTGTCCACCCTGAATAATTTTTAAAGTGTGTGTTCTACATATGTATAAAAGAGTGTTTCATATAGAAATTGCAAGGTACCATAGCTCAAATGGTTCTTTTAAATAATCTGTTTGTTTACGAGATATCAAAGTGGTAATCTTGAATTTTTGAAATAGAATGCGCACCTTTTTACATCAAAATTTAAAAGAACAGTGAGTTTTATGTATGAAAGTATTAAGCTTTACTTGTCCTAAGTTTAATAATTAGCGAGACATTTGCAAGAACGTTGTGCATGGTTCGTTGCTTACCTTAGTTACAATAGGTGCTCAATGTGACGCCTGTTGACTTCCATATACCTGTGTAATTTTCTCATAGAAAATTCACTGCTCTTTTAAATTTTGATACAAAAGGGTACGCATTCCATTTAAAAAATTAAAGACCATCTTGATACCTCGTAAACAAATAGGTTATTTAAAAAAAAATCATTTCAGCATCGTATGTTTCCTTCGATACCCTGTAATTTCTCTATAAAACACTTTTTTGTAAAACACATATTTTAGAAATTATTCAAGGTGAACGAGTTAGGTGATTCACCCTGCATAATTGAGGATTACCTAATTTTCTTATCTAATACCGCACTAAACAGTGAATAGTCAGCAAAAAGAAAGTTAAGATGATATATGACGATGCTTTATGGTATTCGAATTGAAGAGGAACCTTTTGTCTTTTCGTAGAACCAATATTGAACCAAAATCGTACACCCCTCTGTCGCAAATGTAGGAGGAACTCTGTGCTGCTTGTAATTGATCATCCGTAATCTGGAATGAAATTAACGTAATATATGAAGTATTGGATTTAATTAAAAGAGTATTTCCATATGAAAGGAACAAAAAATCGATCTTTTTATCGCATTTTCTCAAAGTGTAACATCTTGAAAGTATGTTACGAAAATTCTACGTCTGAAATCGACGAAATGACAAAGTTATAATGATTTCAAGAAGATGATGTGTCGCTAAAAACGCTAAACTTTAAATGCGTCTTCCTCGAAACCGTGTTTTACAAACTGACTGCCATAATTTCTCAATAATGAATCAACTAATCTCTCCCAAATTTCGCATACGTATAAAATAGATATCACCTTATCGTTCGTACAAGAATTATGCCAATATCTGCAGTAGTTTTTTTAACGCCTGAAGAAATTAAAACTTTCATGATAAAAACGATATTTTTGTTTTACACGGCTGCCATTTAGTCAAAATACATTTTTTTCTGCTTTAATCTAGTAGGAACGATAACGATACTCGTATGGATTAAGATTATCTCCGATTTTTCTGTTTGTAATAAATAGAACAACGTGAATCGTGGCAGCCATTCAGAATGGCACACTATAATATGTAATTTAAATAGCAATTAAGATAATCGCACAAAAATTACACTGTGTTTTCCTGAAACCCGACCAAACGTGTACGACAAATTTCAAGTTCCTTGGTTTATAATTATCTAATAATTTTCAATCCTAAAAATCGCCGAAAAATCACGTCTTCAAATGGAAATACCCCGTTAAAGGTTTAAAATTAGAAATACGGAATATACATGAGGAAAAATGATGTAAGGATTAATGTCAATTCTTGGTATATCCGCGACTCCGTTGACAGATACTTCGTACGTGACGTTATTTCCATCCAGGATGGTCAAAGCGTACGTTTCGCTGTAGTGGCCAACTTCTTCCGGTTGAAAACGAATCTTGAACCGGTGACTTTCGTTCGGCAGCAAGATCCATCGTGGCCTCAAGGGTTCTTCTATGATCGTCTCTGAGAAAGAATTCGTCGAGTCCTTGCTTTCGATCGTCAACTCGTTCATAAAACGATCCTCCACTTTGATGGGCGATTTTTTCTCTTCTATCCTACTCGTTGATTTTCTCTCATATCTTCTGCTAATCTTTAGTACAGATGCATGATTTTCTTGAACAGCGAGTTCGCTGGCTTGGATCGAGTCGTTAACGGAGATGACTTCCGGCATTTGGTTGATAGAAACCAACTGATAAACGTCTGAATTACCATTAATATATTTTTCAGTTGTTGTTAATGAAAAAATTAATTCACAATGACACTGTGGAAATTTGATAACATATGTACCTCCGTATGTTTTTCTCATTCGTCTCTCGATACCTTTCGACTTAAGGATGGAATAAATTTTCAGTTTGAGATCTGGTTCAGGTTCTACTTCAACAGCTGGAAAAGAAGAACTCACATTGATTGATTGGAAGAATAATAGAGTGTAACACACATTAGTTATAAAATATAAATATAATTAAAGTAAGGAGAGAAAAAAGAATAGACCTATGTAACAGATATACTCTGCTGTTCGTAAATATCAAGATACCTATTATGTTCGTAAAGAAATTCAATTACATTTCTTCGCCAATGTTGGTATCATAGATCAGTAAAAATATACAGGGTGTCCATGTTATTACTATTCAACATTTCTCTCGTAAGTGGTAGATTTAGGAGGAAAATAGAAGAGGACAAAGTTTCATTATTTTTCATACACAATGCCATGGCTTGAATAGATTTTTTAAATTTGCAATGGTTCTTGCGTAATGACGACACCACGATTTCTTTTATATCGACAGCTATAATTCCTTTTATTAATGTGAAATTATTATATGTTTATATCGGATGATTGCAAAAGTTCGTGCCCGATTTGAAAATAAAACACAAGCGATGTGTGCGAAAGCACATTTCATTTGAAACTAAAATGCAATGAAACGAATAATTATTTGAAAATGAAACACAAGCGGTGTATTTTTCGTTAGGAATGTAACATTACGCTAAAAGAAACATCTGTGCCGAGGTTCCCGCCACCTCTGAAAATCGGCCACGAACTTTTGCAATCATCCAATATTATTTATTCTATTACGTTATTATCATTAATATATTGTATGAAAGTGGTTAACGAGACAAGTTCAACGCCCTACAATAAACTCATTTCCAAACTCAATTTCGTGACAATGTTTGGTATGGCATAATCAATGACATTGTTGGATGACCAACCTATAGACTCACTGATAAGCGTAAACGAGCTGCTGTGCCGAAAAACAAATCAGTCACGCCTGTTTTTGTCGTTCGAATTCTTAGGCTTACCTACTATTAGTCATTTTGTAAGTAAGGGCCACAGCAACCCTCTCCTCACCGAACGATAGTAACATGAAGGACTCCTCGAAATTGCGGAAAAGGTTCTTTCTCGTTCATTCGTGCATTCGTACATTAGTCCGTTCGTTCTTTCCTATCCAAGGATCAAGCAAGTGTTGTATCCGGAGTTGTAATTTCGAAACGTCCGAAATAAAGAACCATTAATAAGTACAAATCGGTAAAAGCGCTTCCAACTCGGATTCGAACAACACAGTGTTTAGGATAGCATAGTATAGTGTTAGAAGTTTTATCGTATGTGCTCGTTGTTGAATTTCTTCAGGATCTTAATAACGACTGTTTAAATTTATTCCGCATTCGATAAGTGTCCTAATACTTATAAACACACCTCGCAGCTCAGTTTCCTCTCGAATGGTTCTTCTGTGACCGATTTTCCCAAGGAAAAATACGCATTTTCGCCGTTCGTATTTACACGGTACACAGTCACAGTTTCTCAAAACTAGAGAGATAGCTTTATCTTGTAGCTTAAGCCTAATTCTTGTAGCCTAAGCGCACCTGGGCCAACGCTACAATCGCAAAATAGGTGCCCTTTTCTCGACCGTCTACTACAATAGAAATTTTACAACGGTTTTACGACTTACGAAGAGCAGATTTTGCCAATAAATTTTCCTTCATCTGACCAACCACCGTGTTATACATAGAATCCTGCCAAGGATCGCTGGACTTCACGTACCACACGTGAAAATTATTTACAGGGACCTATTTTAAGAACAATTTACTTTAACGTCACTTGAAACTTCATTTATGTTTCATTTGAAGCAATAATGTCACATGTTACCTCTCTGACAGTGTCTAAAATACCCACGTCCCTCGATCTAGCACTTCTTGATCTAGACTTCTCCGAAGGAGGTTCTATCTAAAGTAAAAAAGAAAATAATTTTCAGAGTTAACAATTTGACGTTAAAATGCAGAAATGGAAACAAAGTTACCATTATCCTTCTAACTGGATCCCAATTACGAATGACATTTTCAATGGACGACAGGTCCGAGTAATATTTCTCCATGGCCGCCATAATCTCCCTAATTTCAACCGGAACAGCTTCTTTCCCTGCACAACAAAATAGGCACGGCTCACAAATCACGGCTCTTGTTCCCACTTCGTTCTTTAGAACCACCCACTTCGTTTCGAGCTGTCTCTGCTCCTCGTCGCCCTGCTTGCGTCTCGTTTGCTTGACGCTGGCCTCGAGCTCGCTGACTTACCAGCACCCTTCGCCTGTCTCGCTGTCTTCCCGTTTCCCTTCTTCTTACCTGCCTTCGAGTTCGTAATCCCCTGAAATAAAAAATAAATAATGAACAAAGAATTTCTAATTTTTATTTAATTTATTTCGTTGAAATTGCACGGGATAAACCCTTCGATATTAATGAAGTAAGTTAGCAATTGGTAATTAGCTATTAGAGGACAAACAGATTGGCTAAATATACAGAAGTACACAAAAATATACGAGATATGGCAGCTTAGAAGAAGAACAGAGGGAATACATTTTATGTTAAGAGGGATTAAAGGACTAAAGCGTTGGGTAGAAGAATGTAGAGGTGTTGAGGGTAAAGGTATAAGGTTGAAAAGATTGAAGGAAATACTGGAGGGAAGAGATAATGAAGAAGTAATAAAATGGTTAACACGTTGACTGCCACGCCGGATTTACATGTTTTTCTCAGGGAGCCATAAGAAAATTTTCATTATTCTAAGCATAGAATTATATTATGCTTATTATGCTTTATTATTATTATTTTCTTTTTATTTCAAAATACGGTCTAATTAGCTATGATGTTCGATATTTTTAGTTGACGATATTCATTTCATTTTAATTACTCTAAACAATTCAGACCCTCCGGTCACTAATGACCACCGTGACAATCAAATTTTCTTTGAATCATTTGTTTCTGACATCTACGAAGGACGGAATCATGGCAACCAATTGGACGTATACGCAATTTTCATGGCTTCGTACAAACATCTTACACTTATTGTCACACGCTAAAAAAAAATATATAAATATTTTAGAAGGACGATTAAGTTATTAGAAAAAATTTCGTGTACTACACTCACTTTGATTACCCATAAAAAATTCTGAAAGATGGCAATGAAACTCGCGCGCTAGACCAGAATACCCCCTTAAGGAAAATTATTGAAAACGATCCACGGTAAAGAATATGAAATTTTGCCACATTCCTCCCTATTCATTAGACCTTCCTTTACCAGACTACCATTTCTTCAAACACCTGAACAATTTTTTAACAAATAAATAATTCCAAAATAAAGATACTGTAAAGGCAACATTCAAAGAATTTTTTCATTCAAAAATTAACGATTTTTATAAATTTAGAGTAACGAAACTAGTTAATCGTTGGGAAAAGTGTACAGAAATCTGTGAAAACAGAAAATTGTAAGGAAACTAAAGGGGGAGAAGGAAGAGGGCGTAAGACAGGTGAGGAGTATACGTAAGAAATAGAAGGCTAAAACAGGTAATACGTCAATATGTAAAAAAGGGAGAATATGTAACAAATATGAGGCTAAATAGAAATAACTGATATACATAGAATAGTGAGTGGAGTACTGATGTATGAGAGTGGAAAGTTATTCTAAGCCAGTCCCATTTTGTAGCTAGCAGGCAAAAGTTATACAAAACTATAACAAATATACGTAAAAAATATATTATACAAAAATGATAACTTTTCTTATATTATTGATAATTTTCTTAGTTTAAATCTATTCTGTAATAATAAAGAATTAACAGGAAACGAAAGAATTGCAGAATAAGGAACAATAAAGTTAATAATAAATAAAGTTCTACAATTGGCAAGAAGTCGGGTATTTTGAGTTTCTCGAGTTTAGACAGTGTCGTGTGGAACTTCTAAAAACTTTATAAATTTCCTGATTCCTTTTTCTTTTTTATTCAAGGAGAAACATTTCATCAGTTTGAAGGGAGACCTTTTTTCTTTTACGTTCCATCATTCGTTCGATAAATAGAGCCCGCCTACGCGATGCCTGCTCCCTTTTAACCGGTAGAACCGCGTCCAGATACATCTTCTTATCCTCGTCCGGGAGCTGATCGTATTCCGACGAAGACATCTCGTCTATGTCCCGAATCTTCTGCACAGGATCGACCGCCTTCTCCGCTGCAAAAGATGAAATCTCGTTTCCCTGTGCGACAATGCTGTTTCTGTTGGTTCAGTAACGCGCGCAATCTTCCGCGGCGAACCACTTTGCAGAACACGTTATTTGATAGATTTCTTTGGATAACGCGTTACTTCCTTATACGAGTCTGATGTATTATTAATATTCCGTGAAAATTTCATATAGGAAAAACCAATTGTTTACACTTGTCTTCGGTAACGTATATAAAGATGAGGATTTTCAATAAAGCTACTCAAAGTATAACTAAATATTGAGTTCGGGCAGCTCAACGACTCCAACTAACACCTAACTCTAACTATCTTCCACACTCTATATTCGACGTGTGTTACGAAAAGTAACACGTTTCATTTATCTTACGAAAAACAGCAGGTTCGTCTTCATTATCACGAAAAATATCACGTTTCGTTTTTTGGCGCGAAAAGTAGCACATTTGAATGTTTAATGTTTCGTTGCAAAAACTAACCACGAAAAGTATCATGTATCGTTGATAGCGATGAAAAGAAGCACATTTGAATGTTTAACTACGAAAATAGCATATTTAACTTTATACTGCAGAGATCGATAAGATTTAATTTCTTTTTGAGGCCATGATCGAATCTGATCTAATGAGAATTTTGTCCTGATCCGATCATACTGTACAGTATTCCTCACTTAATTGACGCAGGTTCAGTCCGCGCCGCGACTGTTATCGAGAAAGGGAGGTGTCCTGGGAATTGCCGGCTGTATCTCTCCTCGGTTCGTTCGCTTCTCGAGCGCATCGGAGACGAGAGTGAGAAACATTTTCATATTTTTCTCGTTTCGGATATTAGATGGAGTTGGTATTTATTAAACAATATTTTCAAAGTTTGAATTTTTCGATGTAAAATGCATTTTAGTAATTTAAGCCGACCGCACGCCGAAACGCGTTAGATTTCGCCGCAAAATCCAAAATATGCTATTCTTCGTGGCGAAACAGTATAATGTATTAATTTTCGCAACGAAAGACCAAACGTGCTAATATTCGTTAGAAACGATGAAACGTGCTTGTTTACGCGGCAAACTGACACGTGCTGTTCTTCGTAAGACAAATGAAACGTATCGATATACATATTCTTTCACCCGCGCATTCTCCCTTTCGTCCACCAAAAACCTGTTATTAGTTTGTCCGAAAATATGTCCTATTATGTCATATTTAGGACTTTTCTATACTATATATTTTAAATTTATGTTTATTAAGTAATATACCATTTGAACGCGTAGACGTCGCTCTATCATATAAGTGATACACTTTTTTTTTACCGTCATTTTTTCTGAGTATAACTTAAAAACGTAACAATGAACAAGAAGCAAATTCGTACCATATTTTTATATGAATTTAAATTAGGAAGTAATGCCGCGGAAACTGTCCGCAATATCAATCATGTATTCGGTGAAAGCACAACTAACGATTATAATGCATAAAAAGTTATTTGTTAAACAAGCAAGTTTGGTAAATCGTAAAGGACCAATACTCCTACACGATACGTCCGCCCGCACCAATCACAATTCACGATTCGAGAGATACACGAATTGGGTTATGAAACATTAAAACACCCTCCTTATTCCCCCGACTTATCCCCTACAGATAACCATTTGTTTAAACATTTCGATAACTTCTTGCGAGAAAAAATCTTCCGCAATAAAGAGGATGCTGTAAATACCTTCGTGGAATTTATTAATTCTAGAACTCCTGATTTTTATTGAATGGAATAGGAACTCTTGCAAAACGTTGGAAAAAGTGTATAGAATCTAATGGAAATTATTTCGATTAAATGAATTCATTCTAAGCAAAACTACACGTCTTTAAATCTCATGTACAGAAATCGCAATTTATTTCCGGACAACCTAATAGATACCGTTCTAATCTTAACGAATAAGATAGACACATTTCGTATCCATCGCCTAGTAACCCCTAACAATTACCTTTTTACACAATTACTCATACGGTTTACTGTTATTTACCAACCCCGAGTCAAACTCTGTTATCTATCAACCCCGAGTCATACTCATCAAGTCCCAAAACCGTTGGTCCTTTCCGTACTCCCACTACCCCAAAATAAGACCTACGAACTTTAATAAAAGCAAGCAGTTAAACATCCCGCAGATAATAGAAGAATCGCTACGACAGAACGTATCTAGAAACTAAGTGTTTTAGAACTTGTAAGATTTCGTGTACAAAATTGAGTGAAATAAAATTGTTACATTTTATTTAAATTACTAAACATCGAAAGCTAACAAACCTTGGACAGCCATACACTTTTCTATCATACCCTAATCTCAAACACTCGATCCAAAGATTAACCCTTTGCGCTCGAAGATCCTTTTCCTATAGGTAAATTGCAAATCAGTTTAATTTCTATATTTAACGTATTTTCATATTAAAGATTGCTTCTTTCAAACTATTTCGCTGCTTATAAATTTATGAGAGGACCAATTGTCCTGTAAACTCAATTTTTTACCAAATGGTAAACAATAACGTCGCTTCTCAGTCGCCATTCGAGTGCAAAGGGTCAACACTCGAAACTCAGACACTCGCGATTGACGTTTCTACGGTATAATTTCGTTTCTTCGATCTCTGAAAATTCACATGGAAAATATACTTTACCGATTTCCCTCCGAAGCTGATCGACCTTGCCGTCATAGCAGGCCATCGAATTAAGGAAAGTAACGAACAGTAGATACTCAACGTTCCCAACGATCCGCAATAGAGTTAGGAGAGCTTCGACCGCGTTATTCCGCAGGAAATTGCTCTCTAAGCTCTGCACGACAAAGCCCCACTTGAAATCCTCCACGGATAATCTGCGTACAGTTTATTTTATGCAAATCACCGTCATTAATAATTCTTCCAAATCCTCGAAA